GCGGCTCTCACGCTTTGACAATGACCGCACCATCTCCTTCATTCCGCCTGATGGTGACTTTGAGCTCATGTCCTACCGCCTCAGCACCCAGGTGAGGTAGGGTCCAGCCCCATGTGGGTGGGGTAGGATGGGGTAGGCTTAAGAGTAGCCCTGAGCCAGGTGTGGTGGCTTACACCTATAATCCCAGCACCTTGGGAGGCCGAGGCGGGTGGATCACTTGAGGTCAGAAGTTTGAGACCAGCCTGGCCAACAGGGTGAAACCCCATCTCTACTAAAAATACAAAAATTAGCTGAGTGTGGTGGCACACGCCTGTAGTCCCAGCTACTCAGGAGGCTGAGGCAGCAGAATTACTTGAACCCAGGAGGCGGAGGTTACAGTGAGCCGAGATGGCGCCACTGCGCTCCAGCCTGGGTGACAGAGTGAGACTGTCTCAAAAAAAAAAAGGAGTGACCCTGGAGTCTCCAACAACTGCTCCCATCTTTTGCCTACAGGTGAAGCCACTGATCTGGATTGAGTCTGTCATTGAGAAGTTCTCCCACAGCCGTGTGGAGATCATGGTCAAGGTGGGCCTTGGGAGAATGCTTATTAACAATGCATGATTTCGGGTGGGTGCAGTGGCTCATGCCTGTAATCCCTGCACTTTGGGAGTCTGGAGCAGGCAGACCACTTAAGCCCAGGACTTTGAGACCAACCTGGGCAACATGACGAAACCCTGTTTCTACAAAAAAAAAACGCAACAATTAGCGTGGCATAGTGGTGAGTCCTTGTAATCCCAGTTACTTGGGAGGCTGAGGTGGGAGGATTGCTTGAGCTCAGGAGGAGGAGGTGATCGCAGTGAGCCAAGGACTCTAGCCTGGATGATAGAGCTAGAACCCATCTCCCCCAGAAAAAGTCAGTTACCAAATAAAAACTTCACTGGGGGTGGTGGCTCACACCTGTAATCCCGGCACTTTGGGAGGCCAAGGTGGGCAGATCACCTGAAGTCAGAAGTTCAAGACCAGCCTGGCCAACGTGGTGAAACCTTGTCTCTACTAAAAATACAAAAATTAGCCAGGTGTGGTGGCACTCACCTTAATTCCAGTCATTCAGGGGGCTGAGGCAAGAGAATCGCTTGAACCCCAAGGCGGAGTTTGTGGTGAGCCAAGAGCATGCCATTGCACTCTAGTCTGGGCAATAAGAGTGAAACTTCATATCTAAAACAACAACAACAACAACAACAAAACAGGCCAGGCAAGGTGGCTCACGTCTGTAATTCCAGCACTTTGGGAGGCCAAGGTGGGTGAATCACGAGGTCAGGAGTTCAAGACTAGCCTGACCAACATGGTGAAACCCCGTCTCTACCAAAAATGCAAAAATTAGCCAGGCGTGGTGCTCTATGCCTGTAATCCAAGCTACTTGGGAGGCTGAGGCAGGAGAATTGCTTAAACCTGGGTGGTGGAGTTTGTGGTGAGCTGAGATTGTGCCGCTGCACTCCAGCCTGGGTGACAGAGTGAGACTCTTTCTCAACAAACCAACCAACCAAACCAAAACAAAACAAAAAACAACTCTTCTGTGATGGACTGAAGGGCTTTTTTGTTTGTTCGTTTTGAGGCAGAATCTCCCTCTGTTGCCCAGGCCGGAGTGCAGTAGCAGGTTCTCGGCTCACTGCACCTCTGCCTCCTGAGTTCAAGTGATTCGCCTGCTTGAGCCTCTGTAGTAGCTGGGATTATAGGTGAGCGCCCCCATGCCCAGCTAATTTTTGTATTTTTAGTAGAACTCCTGCCCTCAGGGGATCTGCCTGCTTTGCCCTCGGCCTCCCAAAATGTTGGGATTGCAGGCATGAACCATTGCGGCCGGCCAGAAGGGGTCATTTTGAATCAGGCAAAGGTGTATGGTGCTGTCCAAATGGAAGGCACCAAGAGCGGGGCTTCTGGTGGCTCACGGGTGTGGCCCTGGCTCTACCACTTGTTGGCTCTGTATCTGCAGGGAGATGCCTTAACTTCTGTGTGCCTCAGTTTCCTCATCTGCAAAATGGACAGGATAGCCAGGCATGGTACTCATTCCTGCAATCCCAGCACTTTGGGAGGCTGAGGCGGGTGCATCACAAGGTCAGGAGATCGAGACCAGCCTGGCTAATATGGTGAAACCCTGCCTCTACTAAAAACACAAAACAATTAGCTGGGCATGGTGGCATGTACCTGTAGTCCCAGTTCCTCGGGGGGGTGGGGCAGGGGCGCTGAGGCAGAAGAATCTCTTGAACCCAGGAGGCAAAGGTTGCAGTGAGCTGAAACTGTGCCACTACACTCCAGCCTGGGCAACAGAGCGAGACTCTGTCTCAAAAAATAAACAAAAATTGGACAGGATAATGTCGCCACCTTAGAATTGTGGAGCCCTGGCTGAGATGACGTAGGAAAGGGCTTGGTGAACATTTGCAGGATGTGCAATCGAAATCTTCATGTTCCATGCTCTCTCTGATAGGCCAAGGGGCAGTTTAAGAAACAGTCAGTGGCCAACGGTGTGGAGATATCTGTGCCTGTGCCCAGTGATGCCGACTCCCCCAGATTCAAGACC